TTCAAAATATCTGTATCCTCCTAAGGGATCTACAAATCCAATGTAATCTCTTTTGTATGTCCCAATAGTATTTTTGATGGAATCAAATAGGAAACTTCAAGTTCTTATGAAATCACAATGACTGTAGAAAGTCAAAACAGACTGGAAATAGATTAATAAAGTTGGAGGCACTACATTTCCGGATTTCAAAACATTTTACAAGGATACAAGAAATGAAAACATGTAGTACTTGCACGAAAATGCTCTTATACACTTATGAATCAGAATAGAAATTCATAAATAAATAGGCAAATTCATAAATAAATAGGCATATGAAAAGAGGGCTGATAATTGAAAAAATTGCTAAGCAGGAACAATAGCGGATAGTTCTTTCCAAAAAAGAAATTGGGAAAACTGTATATTCACACCCAAGTGAATGAAATTATACTCTTAAAATATGCCACAAATGAAAATCAATTAAAAATGGATAAAGACTTAAACATAAGACCTTAAACTGTAAAACACCTGGAGAAAAACATAGAAGAAAAGTTTTATGACACTGATACTGGAAGTATCTTGGTTATGACACCAAAAGCACAAACAACAAAAGTAATTAAATGGGACTATAGAAAATAAAATATATTTTACAAGCAATAAAACAATTACTAGATTTCAAAGGTAGGCTTTAGAGCAAAAGAAATAAATTTGAAAATATATGTGAGAAACTAGTGCATTGCAACAGAAAAATCCTAAATAATTCTATTTTTAAATGGTCCAAGGAATTGAACAGAAATTTCTTCAAAGAAGCCACATATATGAACAATAGATATATCTTAGTCACTTTTCTGTGGATGGGGTAAAATACATAATATGCCAATCTTAAAGAAGGACAAATTTATTTTGGCTCAGATTTTCATTTCATGGTAGAAAACGGCATGGGGGCTGGGGATTTAGCTCAGTGGCAAAGCGCCTGCCTGGCAAGCGCGAGGTCGTGAGTTCGATTCCTGGTACCAAAAAAAAAAAAAAAAGAAAACGGCATGATGGGAGAGCCTGGTAGAGACAGGTGCTCACCGTACTGTGGCCCCGAAGCAGAAAAGAGGAAAGGAGGAGCCAAGGAAGGAGACACATTCTTGAAGGTCACCCCCATCGATCTGTTCCTTCCCCCCAGGCCTCACCTCCCAACAGCACATTCATCTCTAAACCCATGATCCGATCTCCTTCCAAAAGTCCTTTGCCTCAATACATGAGAGTCATTCTAGATCTAAACCTTGGCATTCTGACCCTGACCCCCAAAAGAGTCATTTGCCTCTCTGTATGCAAAATACATCTAGTCCATCTCTAAGAGGAGTCCAATCAGCATTATTGCAAAGCCAGCATTATTGAAAATTCCACCTCCAAAGTGTCTTCTAAGACTCAAGGAAAACACTTACCTGTGAACACCTGCAAAAGTATAAAAGAATATTACACAATGCTGACATAAAATGACACACAATAAGTATTCCCTTTTCAAGAGAGAGCAATAGAGAGATAGGCACCAATGGGACCAAAGCAAACTGAAATCCAGCAGGGCAAACATTAAGTCCTATAATTCCATTTCCAGCACCTGGGGAGTGTTGTGGTAAGGTGTGAGCTCCAAATGGCTTGGTAGGCCCACACTACTGCGCTGCTGGTAGCAGCCCCCATGGCCTGTCTCTTGGCTTGCTTCTGCTTGATTCCTGTGACCTTCCTCAGACATGCCACATTCCTAACTTCTCTAATTTCCTAGGGTCTCCACTACACTTCTGGCCATTTTTTTATTGTCATTGAAACATTATTTTGCTTATTTGCTTGTGATGGTATAAATGAATGCATTAACAAAAAGGAAACAGTTTTAGTGAGCACATGCATCTCTTCTTAGCTTCCCACCTGGTCTTTGTCCGAAGGCGTTATGTACATAAAAGCATGGTTGCTACGGGTGGTGGAAACAAGAATCACATAAGAAACTATAGATTTTTTTCTTTGCTGAACAGAAGGGATATTGAGAATTGTGCTGATGATATATATGTAAGAATCACACTATTACGTGATGATGAAATTCAACACTGCCCAGATGATAACAACCTGCTCTAGAAACCATAAGTCTGGCCAATAGATCTTTAAACAGGGACATGCATCTCAGCGAAAATGATCAATCTCATTGGAGTCGCAGAATTCCAACCAGAGGTTGAAGAGGTTTGCACATGACCACATAATGGTCATAGGACGTGCCTGCCAGGAAAAAAGAATCTGTAGCTGCAAAGAGCCCAATAAAAAATATCTGCCTAGAACAAGCATTATAAATTATGGTATTTTCCCTAGCTGATGTACTGGACAGCAATCTGAAAATACAGTCTGTTGTGAGATTTTTGAAGAAAAAGTACATTGATGTTTTAAAATGAGAATCCATCAGAATGATAATAGTCAGGTTAAAAGTTACTCCCAAAGCATATGTCAGAAATAAAGAGACAAAAGCCAAAACTTATAGTTGTGGATCATCTATACATCCCAACCAGATGAATGCTATTATTGCCGTGTGATTTCCCATAACTTTTTTTGATGTTTTAGTCCACCTGCATATAAAAGGTCAAGACATCAAAAGAGAAGTAAGGAAGTAAGAAATAAAAAAGTGAGACATATAAGCTTTAATAGTAAGAATCTATCTGATGAAGATTTACCTCTCTACTTCCTATGATCAATCTTTTATTTTGCTCATTATTATATGTTGGGGTTTTTTCATATAACAGAAACCATGTGATATTTAAGCTTGTGAGTCTGGCTTCTTTCACTTAACATTATGGTCTCAAAATGCATCCATTTTCCTACAAATAACTCTATTGTGTCTTTTTATGGCAGAGTAGTAAAACACTGGGTAGAAATGCCACATTTTCTTTACTCATTCATCTGTTCATAGGCATATAAGCTGCTTCCAAGATTTAACCATTATGTATCGTGCTGCTATAAACATGGGTATGTGTGTATCACTGTAATAAAAGTCTTTACCTCTGTTGAGAAGATACTTAAAAGAGGAAAAGCTGAGATGGAGTGGAAAGGGAGTGGAGAAGAATGGAAAGAAAACAAAGAATTAAAAAAAAAAGATGAACTATGTACAGGTACCAACTCATGATGAGGAATGAAAACATTATGGCAACAAAGATATATTAATAAAAATTAATTTTAAATAACTGATTTATTTAAAAATTAATTTTAATTCTGTTAAGAAAAGAATGAAATAAACCTTAAGGATGCCAAAGGAACAAGAGATAAAGACCAGAACAAAAAAAAGTTGAAAACACATTAGACAAGAGGAAAATTAAATTAAAGCATAGTTTTTAAAAGATCAGCAACACTGGTATCAGGTTGACAAAGCAAACCACAAAAAGAAAGAAAGTACACATATTAGCAAGAAAAAGGATTAAACACAGAAAAGTCCCAGAGACCTCTCATTAGGAAACTGTAAAACAAAACTCCAGTAAGATATCTCACCCAGTTAGAATGAGTGTTATTTAAAAAAATACTAGTGAGGTTGTGAAATAAATTCTTTTTCTTTCTCTTTCTTTCTTCCTTCCTTTCTTTCTTTCTTTCCTTCTTTCTTTCTTCAAACTCACTAATGGAAGTAAAATAAAAATTTATATATCGAAGACACCAAAATAAGAACTAACTAAAGTACCTGGCAGTTAGGATAGCTCTTTTGAACAATGGCAGATTCATTAATAGCACCAGGGTCAAGAAGCATTACCAAAATAATAAATCATTCCCCCAAATAATGATCCAAATAACATTTATATTTTATTCATTGTATTGAAAAGTTTTTATTTTTAATGAAAATTAGCAACAGAAAAAATCTTATGTGTTTGCTGGTAATTAATTCTTATTGAATAAAAATTGTAATTCGGCTGTTTTGGGGTAAAAATATTGTAGAATTTTTCTCTTTTCTAAGATATTTGTATGTTTGTAGTATCTCTACTTAATAGTTTTCTCAGTTAGAAATTCTATACCACAATTTAATATTTAGCATTAGTTATGATAGTATCAATATAGAGAAAAATTGGTTAATAAGTCATAAATATATTCTTCCATTACACTTTAATTTATTAGCACTATTAGAACATTTCTACTGAACTGAATTTTATATGTGCTTGCTCATATTTTTCTCCCAATAATTATATTGCTTACTTTTTTACATTTACATTTGTACTCTGTATGAATTATGATTTGGCATAAATTATGAGGATGTCAGTAAATAAACAAATATAATTTTATGCTTTTGCTTCATATTTGAATATAGTTTTAGAATTTGTCATTTGGGAAGGAAAAAGGGGAGCCATATTCAGTCTTAAAAGGCAGAAAGAAGGGAATCATATTCTTAGAAGCAGGATAGAACATAACTTTTTCCCATCTCAATTTCATTCCATATTTATATTATCTTATTTTTATCTTCACTGGATGAGAAAAGAGAAAAAATTCATGCCATTTAATTTTACATTGCCTGATGTTTAATATTATATCCATTATTGACCAACAGAGAAAAGAGTAAAAAGATGTTATGACCGATGGAACTCAATTGCCTTTTAGAGGAGAAAGCTGTTGTCAGGGAAACATGGTAGAACAATAAAAGGGAGCTTGTGGGGTGTTGCGATAGGACAGAGGTGATTAAACTTCTTGAGTATATTGAAGAATCAAAAAATAAAAATGAAAGCTTATCAAAAAGAATGATATCAGCATAAAGGGACTTCAACTGGACACATGTGGAATAAACAGATAATCATACAGAAAACAGAGTAATCTATTAAAATCTATCATATATCGTTCTTGGTTTGAACTACATATGTGTTTGGCTCGAAAGATTAAAGAGTTTGATGAAAGTGAGAATAAGATGAAATACGACATGCCCATGGGAAGTTTAATCTGACAGTATTATAGAGAGGAAAAAATGAAATGAGTTAGAAACTGGTAAAAATATCTCTGTCATTTGTCTTTCCTTTCCATTTGATTTGGAAGATTCATCAAGATTTCTTTGAGAGAAATGCAATCCTTTTCATAATGTCATTGAAAGCTCGTTTCACTTGCTTGTTCCGCAAAGTGTAAATGAAGGGATTTAACAAGGGTGCAATGGAAGTGTCCAGAAGTGAAACTCCTTTGTTGATGGCCACCTCTTCTTTTGCTGACGGCTTGAGGTAGATGAAGATGCAGCTGCCATAGGCGATGGAAGCCACTACCATGTGTGAGGAGCAGGTAGAAAAGGCCTTTTTCCTTTGCTGTGCAGACTATAGTCTCAGAACTGTCCTGATGATGTGTGTGTAGGACAGAATCACACACACTAGGGTCATAAGCAGAACAAATACTGCTCCAAGTATAATCATTTGTTCAATTACCCATGTGTCTGAGTATGAGGTTTTCAGGAAGGGACTTGCATCACAGCTAAAATGATCAATGGCATTGGAATCACAGCATTCAAGCCTGAGGATCAAGCTAAAGGGTGGGACCATTATCACCAAGACACTTCCCCAACAAGAGAAGATTAATAAGGTACACACTCTGTTATTCATGATGTTCATATAGTGAAGCGGTTTACAGATGGCCACATAGCGATCGTAGGACATGGCTGCCAGGAGAAAAAATTCTACTGCTCCAAAGAGAATAAAAAAGAACATTTGACATATGCAAGCATTGTAGGTGATGGTATTGTCCCCAGCTGATAAACTATATAGGAATCGAGGAATACAGACAGAGGTAAATGAAGTTTCCAAGAAGGAAAAATTTCCCAGGAAAAAATACATAGGTGTTTTAAGGTGGACATCCACCAGTGCGAGAGTAATTATAGTGAGATTCCCAGTTACACTCAAAATGTAGGTGAGAAATAGAAAGATAAAAACCAGAACTTGTAGTTGTGGGTCATCTGTCAGCCCCAGCAAGATGAAAGTTGTTATTTCTGTGTGATTTCTCATCATTCAGTCTTGATATTTAACTGCATATAAAAATCAAGATTTTTTTTAAAATGATACATATTAAAATTTCATAGCAAACACCTGTGCAAGTAGAAGTCATGCAAACCAGCCTACATTTACTTTCCCCCTGTACATCAGAACTGATATTGCCACTATTCCAATAGCCTTACTGAATTTTACATGCATGAGCAGTGCAGAGTTCCTTAGACCATCACGTTATTTTCTAAAAATCCAACTTATTCTTTAATCGTTTATTGCACCTCAAAATTTACAAATGCATTTGATTATAATTCATTGTACAGATTTGGACTTATAATGAGTTACAGAAGGGTGTTGTCATTACCTGAACTGTTGAAAGTTCTTTGCTCAAAATCAACTCTGCATGTAGGATATATGCAGAGATTTAAAAACACAAATTGTCTCCATTACTTGTATTTGAGGATTCATCTTAGAGTATGATGCATTTCTCCTGGAAAGCAATCATAGAACAATGACAAATACTGTGTCCTAGTCCTGAAGAGGATAGTACTATGAGATGGGTTGATGTACAACTGTACTATCTACAGTGTGATAAAAGTTAATGCTGAAGATACTGTAGGAGTAGTTTCATACAGTTTTATTTTATATTCAGTTATTTGATGGGAGCCTTTTTAAGCTCCAGAACCTAATTGGCATTTAAAGATATTAAATAGAGTATTCTAAAATTTTTCTATTTTCATGAGTTTTTTCAATCATTGTAGGTTTTGTTTTAGCATATTTGCACATGCATGTAACGTACTTTGATCATTTTTACCAATTCATTACCCCCTTCTGTTTTATTCCCCCTTTTTCTTTATTCAGTTTTTATTATCTAGCATATTATAACTTCCACAACTCCTATCTCTGCAGTTGTTATCATATTCCCTCCAACTCTCACCAATCCTCCTGCCTCAGCTTCCTGAGTGCAGAGAGGAACACCTAATTAATTGCATGTCAGATCTTGTCTCCACCTGATTCTTGGAAAATAAGAAACAAGCTATTTTAAATGGAGCTATTTTATTTACTGTCAACTTTTCACCTTGGCCCCAGGGTAGCCTCTATCCCATAAAAATCATTTAATTTATACTAACATTCTCACTATAATTTTATATAATCCTCAAAGTTCTTTTTTAATCATCTTCAGAAACACTTTATTTTTTTGCGTAAGGAATCTTTATTAAAAATTCATGATGGTTACATGAGAGATACACAGTATAACTCCAATGCTAACAAACTTATGGTAGATGAAAATATAATCAAATCAGACAAGCACAAAATGCAATACTGTAGAGTAAACATTTACATTAATACTCTTATGGTTATACACGTACAAAGTGCACAGGAAAACTACAAGCAATAAAAATAGTGTTTATGAGTTAATCTACTTAGTTTATATGTTCTGAATATCTACAGCTTCCAACTTAATCTGATTCCAATCTGAAAGCAAAGCAGATGCATATACTTAATGTGGGAATAATGAAATAGGTTCCACTTTACATATGCACCTGTATAATTTCCAATTTGCTTAGCCATCCTAGTGATGAAGGCAAATGGTGATTATTTTTTACTGCTTACCACTGAACTGAAAACTTAAAAAATGTAAATATGTATAAATCTCTTTTAATCTCATTGTTGCATTTGTGAAAGTCTGATTTTTTTATTTTATTTTATTTTATTTTATTTTAAAGATAGTGGTACATGAGAAACACACAAGCAAAAAAACAGAACAGTAGCAGCATATCAGTATCACAAACACAAACAAATCAAAGCAAAAACATTCAAAGTGATATAGGGTCTCAAGACAAATTAATACAAATCAACAGTGGTTATTACACTGCATATCGCTATCCTCAACTACATTGCTCAGATTATCCGATGTAAAAATGAAAGATTGCTCAAACCATTAAAGAGAATAAGAAAATAATTGTTCAGTGAAACCTTAGAGATAATACAGAGTTTCCCTAGACAAGATGTTAGGAGTTCACCTTTGTAATTCCATTGCATATTGTTACCTTCAAATCAGTTGCTCAGACCATCAGACACAAGCATGCAAAGTCGATCAGAACATAAAAACTTGTGAGTATCAACTGTTCATTTCAATACACCATCAGACAACAGCAATACAGTCATCACAGCTATTCATATATATCTTGATGTTTTGCCTTCTTTCTTTTTTCTTCTTTCCCTCATCCCAGTCAACACTCTCTTTTAATGAGGCAATTAAATGTATGTAAATTTCTGAGTTAGAATTAGCAAGGATATTTGTCACAAATATTTCTGGGAATCAGATAGAGCTGATGCATTTTCACCTGGACATGGTGGAATAAGGGCACATGCTACTGGAGAGGTTAGAATCTAAAAATGATTGTAATATGGTCATCAGTAGTTTCATATGCATATTAATGCGTGAGAAATCACTGAGGCCAATAAAAAATTTTGTTGCTTAACACTGACATCGCTATCTACATAGCACACCAGTGCTGTTCCGTATGCCAAAAGACATGAACTTATTTCTATATTTGTATTACATTTTAGGTTGACTAAAATATTTATTAGCTTCTCTTACTAGTATTTCTGGTATTATTTTGCAGAGTTTATCTATGAGAATTATATGTATTTTTCAGCAAAAGGAAAGGACTGTTTCCTTTCATGGAGCAGTAAGTACTCCTAGTCCCCAACCAGCATTATTTGTAATTGTGCTAATGAACATATGAGCTATCTAGAAACAGTCTCTAGGATTTTTGTTGTTTCTTCACCATCGATTGGAATTGTGTTTCCCCATGTGATAAAAATTAGTTTGTCATAGGAATGATGGTCTATTACCCACTTTATTGTTTACAAATTCATGTAAATAACACGAGTCCTCCGCATTTAGAAAAGTGGATTTTTCCTTCCCATTGATGCATGCCTTATAAAATCCCATGAGACAGATATGGAAGCCCTAGCTTGCTCTCAAGGGACCATTCTGTGTGTAAAATCCAAGGTGAATGGTGGATACCTTGCATAAATAAGATGAAGGTGAGCACAAAGCATAATGGCTAATGTTTCACAATGACAGCCTGTGAGACTCTCAAGGTTTTAACTGAAAACATTAAAACTGAAACTATTAATGTTGACTAGTACCCTACATTCTCAAAAAAGAGATCTCCTTTCCCTGTCTCCCTCTGCAAGACTGTTAGCCTAATCAACAGCTTATCCAAGGAAAAAAACAGCAAATTCATTTTCAAGTTATCAGATTTTCATATCGTCTCCTCTTTGCTATCCTATCTTTCACTTTGTGAGGTGAAATCACTGACTTAATGGTTCTCTTCGACACAAGTAAAATAATGTGCTAACAATTTAATATAACTTCTCTGATCTTTGTTTACTAAAAACTAATTCCCTCTCAAATATTTCAGGGACCAAAGTCCAAGGAGTAGAACAAGTTCTGAAGTAGCTAAAAATTGAGATGCTTTCTATCATCTCATTTTTCTTACTTTCCTCCTTTCAATGTACTCTAAGCAAAACTTGTCTTGGTGAAAGTCCCCTCAGCCCTGACAATCACATACGCTGTGAACATGACCAAGGAACCTTTTCACAGAGAGTAATTTGTCTCACTTAGATATCAAAGAGACAATTTTGTTGAACAAATAGGAGAAAGAATTATCTCCGCCTAAATTTTCATCATAAATATTATTTACAATTTAGAAAACATTGACATTTTATGCAATGTAATATTGTATATATTCCATGGATTTGGAAGGTGTATTTCTGCATGACTTCTATACATGATATGTTTAACTGCAAGTATCTGCTTGTGTGTGGCTATATATAGATGCATACCCTGCACACGAGGTCAGTCTTTCCAAAACACTGGTGAGAAGTTTAAACATATGCTCACTATAATTTTCAGCAATAATAAGTTGAATGAAACTTAAGAAAAGTACAGGGAAATACACAAATAAATACCTTTTCCCCTTTCCTCTAAAAATAAACAATAAGTCTTATATCTTCTTTAGAGTACTTACTTTTTTGGTATTTTTCATGATTTTGGTTGGCAACTCCTTAGCTGACTGAATTGTGTTATGAGCAATGTGTCTTGTACTGAACTATCATTGTCTAAATTTCATCGGCTGACATTCCTTGAGTTCTTCTAGTTTCCTACTATATTTTTGTGTCTTTAAAGAGTCTTAATCTAGACCTTGCAAAAACATTTGCAGCATTTCTATCATGAGAGTAAAAAAATCCCCTGTGAGGGAGGAAAGCAAAAGAATTTTCTTTAGGTTCTGAAGTTAAGATGCGCTGTTATTTCTGAGCCGAGAGTTAATGTTTCTACTCAAAAATTCATGACATTTATGTTTTCTGTTTTGGATATCTAAGGTTACCTAAATAAGTAAAGTATTCTTAGTGACCAGATTCAAATATCACACTAATGAACCTTTAGAAAGGATAATTAACTTTAGAAATAAAATCAGAATAGGCATCAGGAGAAATGTTATCCTTTGAGACAGTGCAACAGAAAGTTAGCATCACATAGAGGCAAGTACTCCTCCAAATGAGAAAAATTAGCAAAAATCTGAATCAATTCCCTGGTGTATTTTCTAAGGATATAATAAGTTTTTGATAGAATATTTGATTTAACCTGATTTCCTATAATGGAATATTTAGTAAAGTAGCTGTTACATAAGAAAATTCATATTAATCAATATTACTATGTATGCTGGTTTATTACCAAATAATTCATATTTTGTTAATCACTGCAGAAGTTATCTGCATTTGAAGAACAGGAGAAAATATAAAAGTCAGACATCATTTATTCTGTGTACAGAAAATGCCTTATGATATCATTACACATGAATGACTTTGGGAAAATTCATATAATTAAGATTCACTATTTTATTGGAGTTTTTCTTTGAAATGCCTGCCCCTAAGATTTAAAGTATATATGAAATAATCATATCAAACAGATGGTGAAAGTTTTCAAAATATATGAAGTTAGGGAAAGG